GCTGCGGTCTTCAAGTCAAGCAGGGAATGCCTGCGACGGGTACAGGACCAGCAACAGTTCCGGCGCTGGTCGACATCTCTTTCACCGAGGCATCCCGTCTGCCGAAGTGTGCAAATGCCAAACAATTCGAAGATGTGCGGAGGAAAGCGCGCTACTTCGAGCATGCTTTTTGAAATGGTGCTGAACTGCAAGCTTTGGAATCCCATGAGCTCTCAAACCCCGCTGCTTTGCAAGGTTTTCTGCTCAAATGTTGGAGCGGGCCTTGACTTGCGCACGAGCTTGCTCAGCATGTAACAATGTTTGTATGTCCATTCATGCTGACAAGCTGGAAGTTGTAAACAATCATACCAAAACGTAGGGATGTGTAATGTGTTGTCCATGTTCAACTTCGCTGTCAAAGACAAGTGTTTGGTCTGCTGCATTAGGTTTGTTGCACGTTTGCATGTTCGTCCACTCCTGGGGTTTGGCAGACATGCCCTTGAGTAGATGCAAGGTTCTTTTGTGGTGTCTAACGCCTGAAGGTTCGTTTCGCCCTTGAATCCAAGCAATGGATTGTTCATTTGGCGCTAAATCTAGACCAGCTCCCTCCACATCACTCGTTTCTTGTCATGTCTTGTTCCTTGGCCATGCATTCAGTGTGAATGCCTGTTACCTTCTCGTTGGATGTATCGAAGATCTTTCCATTGCTCGACCAGTACCATGTTCAGACAGTGTTGCGACAAATGTGTTGCGAGTGGGCGAGAGTGATGGGTGAGAGTGTTGCGACACAGGACAATGGGCGCTAGACTTTTTCATATTGCATCAAATGTGTTCTCAGAGCTAGACTGACCTTCCTGCAAGGCAGCACTTTATCACGTTGCTTGCCTAGATTGCCACCCGCAAGGCAAAGTCTCGCAACTATCCCCAGCAGTGTGGGTCTGTCAGCTGAGAAGCCTTGCCTGGGCCTTACCAGCTGTGCGCATTCTTGCCTGCCCTGCATTCGTGTCCATGTTTAAGAAAGAGACAAACCAAAGGGTCGACTTCCTTCTCACAAAAAAAACAAAAACTCTCGAATTGTCGCCCACCTGCCGTGCCCTCACTCCCTGACCTTGCAGGCGTGAGTGGTGGCTTCCAGCTCGCTGGCAATGCTTTTCCAATCGACCCAGCGCCTGCAAAACATAGCACTCCTGACATGTATTTAAACGTATTTGTTGAATGCGTTTTGATCGCACGTTTCTTCGTGTGAACTTGAACTTTGATAAGATGCTGCGCGTCTTAGCTTCAATGTTTGTCAGGCATACTTGAAGAAAGTGCAGACCTCAAGCCGAACTTCGCTCACCCTGTCTGAGTTGTTTGCAGAAGGGCGATGACAAAGATTGATGTTTTGAGTGATTTCAACGCTGAGCATTGCTTGAGGCTATCAAGCAGGAGAACCCAAATACTGTATCCTGCGATGCCTATCAAATTGACATTTACCGTCAAGAGGAGAGCTTTGCTCACATCAAAACACACATTCACACACACATTTGCATTCTCGTTTGTTCCACACTCTCACCTCGCCCCTGTGCCGTGTCTCAGCTTGATGTTGCAGGACGGCCGCTGGGTCAAAGAAGGCAAGATGGCAGCAAGTCTCCGTGAGACAGACGAGCCGAGCACTTGGTTCCGATGCGCTAGGGTTTTTTGCGTGATTTTGGCGTCGCCCAGCTCTCAGGGCAATTGCTATGGCTTCGTACTACCAGCCGAAGCCGCGTCTCAGGCGCCTCCCCCAGCAGTGCAGCATTTTACATTGCTCGAATTTGCATCATTGGCCTAATTTGGCTTTGACTTCTTTCGTTCTCGGCTGAAGCCAAGCAGGCGCATCGTTTCACCTTGTACAAGAAGCATGGGGACAGTCACTTCTTTGCAGTGAGCGTCTTTCTTTGGTGTTCTGTGGCTTGCAGGGTTAGGGGGGTCCATGCTCACATGTTTCAACATGAAGCTGCGGTGCTCAACTCAAGCAGGGAATGCGTGCAACGGGTACAGTACTAGCAACAGTGCCGGTGCTGGTCAACAGCTGCTCCACCGAGGCCAAACAGTTTGAAGAAGTGTGGAAAGCTCGCTACGTCGAGCATGCTCATTGGAAATGGCGCTCAGCTGCAAGCTTCGGAATGACACGACTTCTCAAACCCTTGACCTTGCAGCACATCTCGTGAGATGGCTTCTTGTGCTTGATTTGCAGGCTGTGTCCCTTCTTTGAAAAAGACAAGATTCTCAAAAGCAACAAAATATCCACAAACCGCAGCTTCGCAGGTTTGACGATGTGCCTTTCATCATTGCCTCTCAATTCGAAATGGGGATCATCGCCCACAAAAAACTGAAGTTTTCAAGTATGTTGGTTCTTGTTTGACACATGCTGCAGTGATGCATGGCTCTAAGAAATGTGTCATCGCGTCATCCAAGTCCCAATCTCATTGATTGATGCTTGAAGAGTGTTTGATCTCTTTGCCACAAAAAGGCTGCTCGTTTGAGCTGTAGGCTCCTTCTTGCAGCCATGGTTGTGCCGAAGAATCGGAAGCCATGGAAGTTGGTGGTATTGGGGCTTGGTTGGTACATGGAACACATGTACATGCTGCGGGTCTTGGTGCCAGGTCGATTTCATGAAAAGCTGCCTGTGCAAACAAGATTGGCTGCAGATGGCAAGACCGGTGGGCGCAAGAAACTTGAGTTGCCTCCGCTGACAAGTCCTGCAAATCCTGAAGAACATGTGTTCATCCCCTTGGATAACTATGGCGTGAAGATCCAGGGTTTGTTCCAGGGGCAGGAGTTCGTGTTCCTCCGCGGAGGTGTAGGGGTCGGAAAAACCACATTGGGGTACCACTTGGGACGGGAATATCCGAAGACATTTATCAGTGTTCTTTTTGGCGATGGCGGGTACGATTCTTGGCGCAAGAACATCGTTGAAGGAATTAAGCTTTCAACCGGGAAGGAGGTGAATGAGAGTGGCACGCAGCTTGAGGACGCACTGCGGCTGGCAAAAGCTGACAATCTGACATTGGTATTGGATGAAGCGCACACAATCTTCAACTTGCCACGCATTAGAACATTGCTCTTCAAGAGCTCAATCCACCCCAAAGTGCTCCTTCTCTCAGCCTCCGGCGAAGGAAATGCAGGTAGTCCTACCGCGCCCACTGAGATCAGCCAAAAAGTGTTTTGGACTCCTCCCATCCCCGGCGTTGGTGAGGATTTTGTTGAGCGGTTGACAGAGGCTGGTGTGTGCTTGGACAAGGACAGCGTTGACTTCTTCATGAAATTCTGCGGCGGTCACAGATCCATCTTTATCGCGGCGATGGCATGGGTCAAAAACAATCAACACGGAGCACTGTGGAAGTATAATGAGACCGTGACCAGAGTTCGCGACAGCATCGATGCAACCAACTGGTGGGCACGGGGCTCGATTTTGGAAGGACTTGCTGCATCTCGAGGTGTGAAAGTCAATGGACAGTTTGGCAACCTTGACATGGCACCGATGGAATTTGTCCACATTCTCTGCGAGGGTCCAGGCCAGCTTTCTGAGGAGTTGCGCCGTGACTTGACTGTCTGTGGCTTCGTGATCCCGGTGCCTATTGAGCATGATGGCGAGTTCCGGCGAGTAGACTGGACGAGAGACGATGTCCTATATATGGTTGCAAACCCAATTCTGGCATCATTCTATCGGAACCGGTTGGAGAGGTTTCGCGGTTTGAAAGTGAGAATTGATCCCTTTCTCCCTGTGAACTGCATGGACTTGCTACTGCGCGCGATTCCGTATGTTACCTTTGCCCAGGTTGTGGGGTTTTCACCAAAGGCAGCAGCAGATTCCTCACTGTCAAAGGATGACTTGCCTTTTGAAGACCAATACAATGCTGCCATCATCGAAGTCTTGCAAAGGCTCGGATACGCAGCTGATTCGTCCCACAACAAAGAAGTGGGCAAGGTGGACATCTTTGTGAACATTGACAACAGGACCTTTGGTGTGGAATGTATCATGGCAAAGCGTGGCCCGACAGACCACGAAAATCACCGGGGACGCTTTGACACTGCGCTGTATGCGTACAGCAACGCCGACCACAAGGCACTAGTCACGACTGGAAGCAGCAAATCTCGGGTGCGAGAGCGCGTCTTGAAAACGAAAGCAGATGGTGTCGAGATCATCGGCTTGGTGCCCAATATCGCGCACACTGGCTACAACATTCTGTACCGAGGTTTGGGTGCCAAACAACTGTCCGACTCGGCTTTTGTTTGAATTTGAACTTTCCATTGCCAGCCCCAAAGCTTTTTGTCATCTTGAAGACTCTCAAAGATTGGAGTGTGGTAAAGAACTGAATCATCCGTCGCCCTGGAGGTGCCCAAGCTGCAGAGGGTGCAGATTTGGTGGAGTACTATGTCGAGTGCGACCTCGTGGCACGTGCGTTGGACACAAGCAACAGGATCCGCTGCATCCAGAAGGTTTTGCGCATCAACAAACCTGCGCAACCTCCAGGCAACATTTTCGCTCGCATTGGCGCAAAGATTTGTTGCGCAAGTCAGGACGCAAACTGTGCTTCATTCACTGTAGGGTTTCCGCCTGGAATAATCATCTTTGAATATTTTCAGCGAAGTGGAATCTTGTCAGAGCTGCACCCTGCAAGGCAGCGCCGCCCATGGGTGAGAGTGTTGGAACAGGGCAATGGGCGCTAGACTTTTTCATACTGCAATAAATGTGTTCTCAGCGCTAGACTGGCCTTCCTGCAAGGCAGCACTTGTCATGTTGCTTGCCCAGAATGCCGCCTGCAAGGCAGTGCTGCCTTGCAACCATCCGCTGCGGTGTCTGCGGTGTGGGTCCGTCAGCTGAAAAGCCTTGCCCGGGCCTTACCAGCTGTGCACAGTCTTGCCTGCCCTGCGTTCATGCTCAAGAGAAACTTCCTCCACAGAAGATTGTCCCACCTCCAAAATCGAAGGCGTTTGTGGAGCCGTCGGTTTAACGGCTGGATGTGAACTGGATTGCAGTGCTTGTGCCTTGCGAGGACGGCAAGGAGTTCATTGGCAATGCGTTTCAGGTCAAAGGTGTCTTGGCAAACGCAGCGACCTCAGCTGCTTCACTTAGCGAGGGATTGCCTCAGTTCTTTTCTGTGTTCGGGAGTGGTGGTTCACGCGTTTGGTTGGCTATATCAGGTGGACGACCTCAAAGAAGCCATGCGCTCAGAAGCGGGTTGGCAGGTCCGTTATTGTTTGGGACTCGCACTCTGAAGGCTTCAGGGCACCTCAGCTTTGTTTTGCCTTCTGGTATGTTGCTTAAGCTTCACGAGAATGTCAGGTGGATGATCTCAGAAGCGGGTCGCAGCAGTTCTTTGTTTGTTTTGGTTTGAGACTGTTGTCATATGAGATTACTTGAGGCAATTACGCAAAAGAATCCGAATACTGTGTCCTGCGACGCACATGAAATCGACATTTACAGCCAGAAGGAGAGCTTTGCGTGTCGAAAAGCACACCCATTTCATCTCACTCTCACCTCACCCCTTGCCGTCTCTCAGCTGGACTTTGCAGGATGGCCGCTGGGTCAAAGAAGCAAGGATGTCAGCAAGTTTGCACGACACAGATGAGCCTAGCGCTTGGTTCCTATGCCTTTCAACTTTGGGTTGTGCCGTCGCCCAGCTGTCAGGGCAGATTGCTACGGATTTGTGCTACCAGCTTGAGATGCATCAGACTGGGTGCCTTCCTTAGCACAGCATGTTTGACACTTGTGAACTTGCGCCATTGCGCGTCCTAAGATGGCTTTTGTCACTTGCTCTTCTCGGCTGAGGCAATGCTGGTGCACAACGTGTCACCTCGTACCGGAAAATAAAGGTACAGCTGCGGCACAGTTGTTTCGTTGCAGCGCGACTTTGCTTGACTTAAAGAGTTTGGGAGGTCCATGCTTACACTTTTGAGCATCAGGCTGCGGTCTTCAAGTCAAGCAGGGAATGCCTGCGACGGGTACAGGACCAGCAACAGTTCCGGCGCTGGTCGACATCTCTTTCACCGAGGCATCCCGTCTGCCGAAGTGTGCAAATGCCAAACAATTCGAAGATGCGCGGAGGAACGCTACTTCGAGCATGCTTTTTGAAATGGTGCTGAACTGCAAGCTTTGGAATCCCAAGCTCTCAAACCCCGCTACTTTGCAAGGTGTTCTGCTCAAATGTTGGAGCGGGCCTTGACTTGCGCACGAGCTTGCTCAGCATGTAACAATGTTTGTATGTCCATTCATGCTGACAAGCTGGAAGTTGTAAACAATCATACCAAAACGTAGGGATGTGTAATGTGTTGTCCATGTTCAACTTCGCTGTCAAAGACAAGTGTTTGGTCTGCTGCATTAGGTTTGTTGCACGTTTGCATGTTCGTCAACTCCTGGGGTTTGGCAGACATGCCCTTGAGTAGATGCAAGCAAAGCTGGCGAGGTCAGGTTCTTTTGTGGTGTCTAACGCCTGAAGGTTCGTTTCGCCCTTGAATCCAAGCAATGGATTGTTCATTTGGCGCTAAATCTAGACCAGCTCCCTCCACATCACTCGTTTCTTGTCATGTCTTGTTCCTTGGCCATGCATTCAGTGTGAATGCCTGTTACCTTCTCGACTCGTTGGATGTATCGAAGATCTTTCCATTGCTCGACCAGTACCATGTTCAGACAGTGTTGCGACAAATGTGTTGCGAGTGGGCGAGAGTGATGGGTGAGAGTGTTGCGACACAGGACAATGGGCGCTAGACTTTTTCATATTGCATCAAATGTGTTCTCAGCGCTAGACTGACCTTCCTGCAAGGCAGCGCTTTATCACGTTGCTTGCCTAGATTGCCACCCGCAAGGCAAAGTCTCGCAACTATCCCCAGCAGTGTGGGTCTGTCAGCTGAGAAGCCTTGCCTGGGCCTTACCAGCTGTGTGCATTCTTGCCTGCCCTGCATTCGTGTCCATGTTTAAGAAAGAGACGAACCAAAGGGTCGACTTCCTTCTCACAAAAAAAAAAACTCTCGAATTGTCGCCCACCTGCCGTGCCCTCACTCCCTGACCTTGCAGGGCGTGAGTGGTGGCTTCCAGCTCGCTGGCAATGCTTTTCCAATCGACCCAGCGCCTGCAAAACATAGCACTCCTGACATGTATTTAAACGTATTTGTTGAATGCGTTTTGATCGCACGTTTCTTTGTGTGAACTTGAACTTTGATAAGATGCTGCGCGTCTTAGCTTCAATGTTTGTCAGGCATACTTGAAGAAAGTGCAGACCTCAAGCCGAACTTCGCTCACCCTGTCTGAGTTGTTTGCAGAAGGGCGATGACAAAGATTGAAGTTTTGAGTGATTTCAACGCTGAGCATTGCTTGAGGCTATCAAGCAGGAGAACCCAAATACTGTATCCTGCGATTCCTGTCAAATTGACATTTACCGTCAAGAGGAGAGCTTTGCTCACATCAAAACACACATTCACACACATTTGCATTCTCGTTTGTTCCACACTCTCACCTCGCCCCTGTGCCGTGTCTCAGCTTGATGTTGCAGGACGGCCGCTGGGTCAAAGAAGGCAAGATGGCAGCAAGTCTCCGTGAGACAGACGAGCCGAGCACTTGGTGATGCGCTAGGGTTTTTTGCGTGATTTTGGCGTCGCCCAGCTCTCAGGGCAATTGCTATGGCTTCGTACTACCAGCCGAAGCCGCGTCTCAGGCGCCTCCCCCAGCAGTGCAGCATTTTACATTGCTCGAATTTGCATCATTGGCCTAATTTGGCTTTGACTTCTTTCGTTCTCGGCTGAAGCCAAGCAGGCACATCGTTTCACCTTGTACAAGAAGCATGGGGACAGTCACTTCTTTGCAGTGAGCGTCTTTCTTTGGTGTTCTGTGGCTTGCAGGGTTAGGGGGGTCCAGGCTCACATGTTTCAACATGAAGCTGCGGTGCTCAACTCAAGCAGGGAATGCGTGCAATGGGTACAGTACTAGCAACAGTGCCGGTGCTGGTCAATAGCTGCTCCACCGAGGCATCCCTCCTTGCGCCGAAGTGCGCAGATGCCAAACAGTTTGAAGAAGTGTGGAAAGCTCGCTACGTCGAGCATGCTCATTGAAATGGCGCTCAGCTGCAAGCTTCGGAATGACACGACTTCTCAAACCCATGACTGACCTTGCAGCACATCTCGTGAGATGGCTTCTTGTGCTTGATTTGCAGGCTGTGTCCCTTCTTTGAAAAAGACAAGATTCTCAAAAGCAACAAAATATCCACAAACCGCAGCTTCGCAGGTTTGACGATGTGCCTTTCATCATTGCCTCTCAATTCGAAATGGGGATCATCGCCCACAAAAAACTGAAGTTTTCAAGTATGTTGGTTCTTGTTTGACACATGCTGCAGTGATGCATGGCTCTAAGAAATGTGTCATCGCGTCATCCAAGTCCCAATCTCATTGATTGATGCTTGAAGAGTGTTTGATCTCTTTGCCACAAAAAAGGCTGCTCGTTTGAGCTGTAGGCTCCTTCTTGCAGCCATGGTTGTGCCAAAGAATCGGAAGCCATGGAAGTTGGTGGTATTGGGGCTTGGTTGGTACATGGAACACATGTACATGCTGCGGGTCTTCGTGCCACGATTTCATGAAAAGCCGCCTGTGCAAACAAGATTGGCTGCAGATGGCAAGACCGGTGGGCGCAAGAAACTTGAGTTGCCTCCGCTGACAAGTCCTGCAAGTCCTGAAGAACACGTGTTCATCCCCTTGGATGACTATGGCGCGAAGATCCAGGGTTTGTTCCAGGGGCAGGAGTTCGTGTTCCTCCGCGGAGGTGTAGGGGTCGGAAAAACCACATTGGGGTACCACTTGGGACGGGAATATCCGAAGACATTTATCAGTGTTCTTTTTGGCGATGGCGGGTACGATTCTTGGCGCAAGAACATCGTTGAAGGAATTAAGCTTTCAACCGGGAAGGAGGTGAATGAGAGTGGCACGCAGCTTGAGGACGCACTGCGGCTGGCAAAAGCTGACAATCTGACATTGGTATTGGATGAAGCGCACACAATCTTCAGCTTGCCACGCATTAGAACATTGCTCTTCAAGAGCTCAATCCACCCCAAAGTGCTCCTTCTCTCAGCCTCCGGCAAAGGAAATGCAAGTAGTCCTACCACACCCACTGAGATCAGCCAAAAAGTGTTTTGGACTCCTCCCATCCCCGGCGTTGGTGAGGATTTTGTTGAGCGGTTGACAGAGGCTGGTGTGTGCTTGGACAAGGATAGCGTTGACTTCTTCATGAAATTCTGCGGCGGTCACAGATCCATCTTTATCGCGGCGATGGCATGGGTCAAAAACAATCAACACGGAGCACTGTGGAAGTATAATGAGACCGTGACCAGAGTTCGCGACAGCGTCGATGCAACCGACTGGTGGGCACGGGGCTCGATTTTGGAAGGACTTGCTGCATCTCGAAGTGTGAAAGTCAATGGACAGTTTGGCAACCTTGACATGGTACCGATGGAATTTGTCAACATTCTCTGCGAGGGCCCAGGCCAGCTTTCTGAGGAGTTGCGCCGTGACTTGACTGTCTGTGGCTTCGTGATCCCGGTGCCTATTGAGCATGATGGCGAGTTCCGGCGAGTAGACTGGACGAGAGACGATGTCGTATATATGGTTGCAAACCCAATTCTGGCATTATTCTATCGGAACCGGTTGGAGAGGTTTCGCGGTTTGAAAGTGAGAATTGATCCCTTTCTCCCTGTGAACTGCATGGACTTGCTACTGCGCGCGATTCCGTATGTCACCTTTGCCCAGGTTGTGGGGTTTTCACCAAAGGCAGCAGCAGATTCCTCACTGTCAAAGGATGACTTGCCTTTTGAAGACCAATACAATGCTGCCATCATCGAAGTCTTGCAAAGGCTCGGATACGCAGCTGATTCGTCCCACAACAAAGAAGTGGGCAAGGTGGACATCTTTGTGAACATTGACAACAGGACCTTTGGTGTGGAATGTATCATGGCAAAGCGTGGCCCGACAGACCACGAAAATCACCGGGGACGCTTTGACACTGCGCTGTATGCGCACAGCAACGCCGACCACAAGGCGCTAGTCACGGTTGGAAGCAGCAAATCTCGGGCGCGAGAGCGCGTCTTGAAAACGAAAGCAGATGGTGTCGAGATCATCGGCTTGGTGCCCAATATCGCGCACACTGGCTACAACATTCTGTACCGAGGTGTGGGTGCCAAACAACTGTCCGACTCGGCTTTTGTTTGAATTTCAACTTTCCATTGCCAGCCCCAAAGCTT